AGCGGGGCCCTGACACGTGCTCTCCCGCAGGTGTACCGCTGGGCCGAGCACTCGACTACAGTGCTGCAGCGGCTGAACGAGCAGCGCCTGCGCGGCCTCTTCTGTGACATCGTCCTGGTGGCGGACGAGCAGCGTGTGCCAGCCCACCGCAACCTGCTGGCCGTGTGCAGCGACTACTTCAACTCCATGTTCACCCTGGGCATGCGCGAGGCCTTCCAGAAGGAGGTGGAGCTGATCGGCGCCTCCTACATCGGCCTCAAGGCCGTGGTGGACTTCCTGTACGGCGGGGAGCTGGCGCTGGACGGCGGCAACATCGACTACATCCTGGAGACGGCCCACCTGCTGCAGATCTGGACTGTGGTGGATTTCTGCTGCGAGTACCTGGAGCAGGAGGTGAGCGAGGACAACTACTTGTACCTGCAGGAGCTGGCCTCCATCTACAGCCTCAAGCGGCTGGACGCCTTCATCGACGGCTTCATCCTGAGCCGCTTCGGCACCCTGTCCTTCACGCCCGACTTCCTGCAGAACATCTCCATGCAGAAGCTGTGCGTGTACCTGGGCAGCAGCGAGGTGCAGCGGGAGTGTGAGCATGACCTGCTGCAGGCCGCCCTGCAGTGGCTGACGCAGCAGCCGGAGCGCGAGGCCCACGCCTACCAGGTGCTGGAGCACATCCACTTCCCGCTCATCCCCAAGAACGACCTGCTGCACCGCGTCAAGCCGGCCGTGTGCTCGCTGCTGCCCAGGGAGGCCAACTGCGAGGGCTTCATCGAGGAGGCCGTGCGCTACCACAACAGCCTGGCGGCCCAGCCGGTCATGCAGACCAAGCGCACGGCGCTCCGCACCAACGAGGAGCGCCTGCTGTTCGTGGGCGGCGAGGTCTCCGAGCGGTGTCTGGAGCTCAGCGACGACACCTGCTACCTGGACGCCAAGAGCGAGCAGTGGGTCAAGGAGACGCCCCTGCCGGCCCGACGGAGCCACCACTGTGTTGCTGTGCTGGGGGGGTTCATCTTCATCGCGGGCGGCAGCTTTTCGAGGGACAATGGAGGGGACGCGGCGTCCAATCTTCTTTATAGGTATGACCCCCGCTGTAAACAGTGGATCAAGGTGAGATTAAAGCCAGAATCTTTCTTTACTCTTGAGGACTTTTGATCTCTCTAACCTAACCTTGACTGCCCCCTCCCTTCTCTCTGGCCTTGACCGGTTCCTGCCTCTGAACAAGGTGTAAGGATAAAGTGACGAGCCACCGAGTTCCCACCCTCCCCTCTGCCTGCACCCCGGCTGGGGGCAGCGAGGGCTGACCTTCAGGGTCAGCCTAGAACTTTCGGCACCGATAGAAACCTTCCGCGTCTGCGCCGTCTCATGCAGTGGCCACCAGCTCTTGAAATGTAGCCAGTGGGACCGAAGGACTGAATTTTCCATTTGCTTTCACTCTAATTCACATTTGCATGTAAACGGCCACACGAGGCTGGTGGCTACCACATTGGATATCGCTGGTCTAGAGATTTGACCCATAGTTCAAACATTCTTCCCCGTGGCTCAGAGTCTCAGCCAGGCTCCTCTTTTGGAAAGGTCTGGAGCTGGTTTAAGGGGGCCATGAAGGCTCACATCTTTGGCAGGTATGGTGGCTGATTCTGGGAAGAGCATGGGTCTTGGCGTCAGACCTGAGTTCACATCCCATTGTAGCTGGGAATTTCGGACTGGTTCCTTGCCCTCTCCAAATTTCAGTTTCTCCCTCTGGAAATGGTGGGGGGGGGCACATTGACCTGCCAGGGTCAGGGGTTGTGTGTGGCTCCTGTTGGTTGACAGGTGCCTGGCAGAGGCGAAGAGGTATTCCTTTTCTCCCTCAAACACCTCTCCAGACCACATCCATGAAAGCCAGTCTCAGTCTTTATACTCATACCTCAGTGATTTTACTTAACTTGGTGTTTTTCTGAGCTCAAAACTCAGAATGGACTCTGACGATCTTTTGATTTTTTTCCCCTCAAAAATCTGAAACCACCTACCAAGGCGTAAGTGATACCACTAGAAAGAGGCTCCCTACTTTGGAGCCCGTCCTCAAAAACTTAGTGTCAGTGGCAGCTTGAATGTATGGCCTCCTGCGGGACTGTGTTGATCTGTGTGTTCTGCTTGGATTATTTAAAGAAAAAAAAAAAAGTTGGGTCTTCTGCTTTTTAATTTCCTGTCGAGCGCCACTTTCTGCCTGTTAACACCATGGCAATCAACATTAATTAAAAAACGATCCGATGGGGTTGACAAGAGGAAGGATGAGTTTTTATTTTAAGAAGTCACTAAATCAGCAATTATGAACTGTGTATCCTGCAGCATTCAAGTACACAAGGCTGGCCACGTGGCCAAACAAGTTTGGGGAGCTGTGTTCTCCAGTCCCCTCTTGGGGACTCGCAATGTCGCAGGGGTCCTTGGGGACTCCAAGAAGTCCCTCCTAAAGAACCCTTCTTTCTTCCAAGTTTGATTCCCTTCCCCCAAACTCACTTGGCCACTGCCTCACCTTCCTGGGCTGAGTGTTCTATAGGAACACCTTTGGGAAGCGATGCTAGATATTGACATTATCCAGGATTTTGGGAAGGGAAGGTACAGGTGTCTTGCCTCCGCAGGTGGCCTCCATGAACCAGCGCCGTGTGGATTTCTACCTTGCCTCCATCGAAGACATGCTGGTGGCCGTCGGTGGCCGGAATGAAAATGGAGCTCTCTCTTCAGTAGAGACTTACAGTCCCAAGACCGACTCCTGGTCCTACGTGGCCGGCTTGCCAAGGTGATTGGAGGTTTTGTGGCGGCCTTTTGGGTTACAGTTCAGTCCACCTCACCTTCTGGATTTTTTGGCTTCTAATTCCAGGAAAAAAATCTCCTGGCTTGTTAATAACGGGAGGTAGACCAAGAGGGGTGGAGGGCATGGTGGCGGTGAGTCAGGGCTCCTGTTCTAGGCCGACCACGTGCATGTCAGCTCTGCCGTTAAGACAAGCACCCCTCCGTTTCTGAGTCTGTTCCCTTCCTGAGCTTCAGTGGATAGGTATCCACCGTTACAGAGCCATACGGAATTGTTTCCCTGCCCGAAGGTTCCTTGTGCCCCATGCCTCATCCCTCCCCACTTCCTCCGCACCGCCGGCAGCCACCGGCATGTTGCAGTCTCTGTAGTCTTGACTTTTCCAGACCGTCTTACGGTTGGAATTGTACTCTGTCTCATCCCCTGTTGCTGTATGATTTGATCAGGTACATATGTGTGCCTCAGTAGCATGTTGTTGCTGTCTTCTGATTATGCCCATTTCTCAGGTGGGGAGACGGAGAGGGGGCAGAGTTGGGAATTCTTGCCCGGGCAGTCTGACTACAAAGCTGTCTGTTTGTCCGCCCTGCTTTGCCACCCCCTATGACAGCTGCCATCTATAAAGTGTTCGCCAGGTGCCTGCTCGCTCCCTGCGTTATCCCCTCAAATTCTCACGAGCCCCTGCGAGGACAGGTTGTGCCCATTTTTTCAGAGGAAAAGACTGAGGCCTCAGCTCCTGGGGGCCCAGCCCAGGACGGCACTGAGCTCCCTCTGTCTCTCTGTCCACCCCTGCCCAGGTTCACGTATGGCCACGCAGGCACCATCTACAAAGACTTCGTGTACATCTCGGGGGGCCACGACTACCAGATCGGCCCCTACCGCAAGAACCTGCTGTGCTACGACCACCGGACGGATGTGTGGGAGGAGCGCCGGCCCATGACCACAGCGCGGGGCTGGCACAGCATGTGCAGCCTGGAGGACCGCATCTACTCCATCGGGGGCAGCGACGACAGCGTGGAGTCCATGGAGCGCTTCGACGTGCTGGGCGTCGAGGCCTACAGCCCGCAGTGCAACCAGTGGACCCGGGTGGCCCCGCTGCTGCACGCCAACAGCGAGTCGGGCGTGGCCGTGTGGGAGGGCCGCATCTACATCCTGGGCGGCTACAGCTGGGAGAGCACGGCCTTCTCCAAGACGGTGCAGGTGTACGACCGCGAGAAGGACAAGTGGAGCAAGGGCACTGACCTGCCCAAGGCCATCGCCGGCGTGTCCGCCTGCGTCTGTGCCCTGAAGCCGCGGCTGGAGGACAAGAAGAAGAAGGGCAAGGCCAAGAGGCACCAGGACCGGGGCCAGTGACCCGGCCCGTGCCCCCTGGGGCCTCGTCCCCGCCGCCACCTCCCAGAGTGTCTGCAGACCAGCAAGCGACTTCATTAGAGCCCTGGAACCATTGTGTACCACTTAGCAGCTTTTTTTTTTTTTTTTT